AGGTAGGGAAAGCTGAAAAACTGACATGCTCTCGGATATCAACTCGAAGCATGTGATGGTAGCGGGTCCTCCTCATGTCCTCATCACCCGCATACTGGAGCACTAACAATACCCTCTCCCGGAACTTGGCGGTGATCTCCGCCACAGTCTCTGTCGTCTGTCTCATGTCCAAAAACTCTCTGGCCAGCTACTGAAGCTCGACAGCCGGCGAGAACTCTGCCCTGAACCTGGTCGCAAAGTTCGACCATGACATAGCCTCAACAGTCAAGGCTCCCAACGAGTTGCTCACGGACTCCCACCAATCCCTAGCTCGATCACGTAAACATCCTGCTGCATATCTCACCTTCGACCCCTCGGGGCAGAAGCTAATCATCTGTGCACACTCAATGTCTGCAATCCATCGTCTGGCAGCTATGGGGTCCTTCGCCCCATGAAAATCCGGCGCACCACTACCCCGAAAGTCCTTGAAGGACAGTGTGCAAGATCCCGACTGGCCAGATGCCATGTTGCTCTTGGATGCCCGGAGGCGATCCTCCATCATCTCCAATATCCCTTCCTTGATCGACCCGAAGATAATGGGGGTCGACTCAAGGATACCTCTGGTGATCTCAGACGCGATGAACTCGTGTAGCCTCTCATCTACTGGCTCGGAACCTGATCTCGAACCCGATCCCTCTCTTGAACTGCCAACTGCTGGCCTCGGGCATAGTACCACCATTCTGAAATACAAAAGAAATAACAACTGTTAGTGATACTGATACCCCTGGAGGGATCACACCCACTACAAGTTCCCTTGTCTTATCTTAGCCTTCCTCGGTTCAGGTACGAATCCTCTGCTTTCAGTAGTACCGACCCATACTACCTTCCACATCTATCCGTACCTTCCCCAAAGACCGCCTTGACTCAACCAGGTCCCTTCCACTACCACTGATCACTGCTACTCTTATCCTAGGCTTTCCTTAGGAAACCTCTGACTCCACCCCAACCCAGTCCTCAGCTGCCAAAGGCCTCTTGGTGATTCCAATTAACTATTACATGAATACAATCACATGTGATGAGGCTCGGATAATCCTTCGAGTAAGGGATTCATCTCTACAACGGTTAGGACTCAAACAAGAGCTACGCAATAGAGTCAAATCCAACACTCTGAGATTATTCAACCCTGATCACATGTGACCTTAACGTATTCACCTAACAGTTAACTCCCATCACTTCAAAGCCCACATAGCACAAAGCAAACAACATTTGGACATGAGGAAAACAATCTCAAGCAACTCTATCCTCGTAGAGAAAAACTGAACTTTACATACAATGCTAAACTTGTACTATCAGGAATAACCTAAACAGGCTACCCTACTGCTGTCTGCTCAATTCTAGCATGCAACTTTTTCATATACTGAAGCACATAAAGCAGGCACATAAGGCATCACTCCTAGATCCTTAGTCCTATTCTAGCATGCTGTTCTACAGAACTGATAAACATAAATAAACTTGTATGGGTACATTGGGGAATACTTACTTGAGCTCGGCCGGTCGCGCACATCACACACTTTGTTCTTCCTTAAAACCCTTTACTTAGACTTTTAGAAAACATTTTCTCTTTCAAAAATCTTTTAATCCCTCGATTTGAGTTCGAACACCCCCGAAGGTGTGTCCGAATCCCTCAAACCAGGGCTCTGATACCAACTTGTAACACCCCAAAAATACGAGACAAAAATTTCATTTTGAAAACATATATTTAGCAAACATTCGAATTAAAACGTTTACTGATCATAAAATTTTATAAAAATATCACATGTCTGGAAAACATTTCATAAAAACATAATAATGTCAAAGTACAATTTCCCAGGAAGATCTCGTGATGCGGAATACGAAGCATGTGTGTGATGGGCCGCTACCACGCCAACTCTTTCCCCTTCGAAGAAGAGGTACTTGAAACCAAAACTGAAAACTATAAGCACGAAGCTTAGTGAGTTCCCCCATCGTACCGCATACCATACAATCACATATCATACATATTGCAAGGCATTCCTGGGGTGCCCGACCTACCCAGTACGGCCATTCTGGGGTGCCGACTTACCCGTGTCAAGCCATTTGGGGTGCTGACTACCCATGTCAAGCAATTCTGGGGTGCTGACTACCCTTCGGTCCTGACGAACGAACCTCGGGGACTATTTCACCCCCTACTGCTACTATCATATATATCATAACGTAAGGGTGCCTGAACTACCCTTTGGTCCTAGCAACCGAACTCGGGGACTAGTCCCCTCCTACTACCTCTATCGCATATAACATAACAAGCCAGCATGCAAACATATCATCATATACTGTCAGATGTATCTGGGGTGTCTAACTACCCTTCGGTCCTAACAACCAAACTCTACTACTATCACATACAATATATCATGCTAGCATATAACATATCAGGTAATAGAAAACATAAATGATATCACAACGACAATCATCTATCATACGTCTCCTACTGGTGGGCCGACATTGTGGCCTTAGACCCACCACTACTGGAAGGTAACTCACCTCATAGTAGCTACTGATCGGTGTGGGAATGGTCTGTCTGCTGTTGCTGCTTCGGAAATCCTCCGACTATAATTCCCACCAAACACTTAGTCAAATACGGCTAACCGCCCTCAGGGTAAATTGTCCATTTATCCTTAACAAGTCATGAGTCAAGTCACAGTCAACTGCCAGTTGACCAGACTCGCCGAGTTGGCTTGCCAACTCGTCGAGTCCCTTTCTCTATACCCAAGTCCAATAGTCCTTCATCCTACTCGCCGAGTTGTATGAACAACTCGTCAAGTTCACCTTCATCCGAAGAACACTCTAAGCTGTGACTCGCCGAGTTGTATGAACAACTCGTCGAGTTGTTCTTGAGACAAGAAGATTGCCATGAACTCGCCAAGTCATGGCATTGACTCGTCGAGTGACTTCATGAGTGATTCTGGCTTCCAACCCACTGAGTCATACCCTCTGACTCACCACTCTAAGTCGCAAACACAAAAAGGGGAACAACCCGGGGACTCGCGACACGACTCGCCGAGTCAAATGAACGACTCGTCGAGTCTGCCTCATGCAAAAACTATACACGTGATTTTGCTTGAATCCAGTCTATGCCATTCATAGATCTGGGTTCCTAGGGCCTGTTTTACATGTAAAGTTTCCAGCTTTACGTATAGATAATCACCAATGAAGGTTTTAGGGCTCAAAGTGCACCAAAAGGGGTAGATCTAGGACTTTCATGCAATATGACTCCATAAAGGCAGTAGATCCAAGCTCCAGGGACTAAATCATGCCTAGATCTAAAGGCTAACAACTTATTACAACCCACAAAGCACAAACAAGCTTGAAGAATGGCTCAAAAAAGACTTTCATGAAGCTATTAGGGACTACAAGCTTGAAAACAGAGGGGAAACGAGCTTTACCTCAAGGAAAACATTGGGATGACACAAAAATGCTTGGCCTCCTTCTCCTCTTCTTGATTTACTCTTCTTTCTCCTCAAAAACTTCAAGAACACACCCAAAACACTTAAATCTCACAAGGAAAAGGGCAAAACGATGTTGGGAGCTATGAGGGTGAATGGGCGAGGTTGGGGCGGAAATGAGTGTTTAAATAGGGTGCAAACCCTTGAAATTTAGGGTTTCATCAAACAGCGGTGACTCGCCGAGTCCCA